ATGAAAGCAAATTTGACATATTTAAATCCGATGGTAGAATATTAGTTTGGAGAAAACCAAATACCGAATTGGATCTACGAAATTTACAATCGAGTGTAAAACGTGGAGGTGGTGGAGTTATGGTGTGGGGTTCTATGACAGTATCTGGGGTTGGCGAATTAATTTTTATAGATAATATTATGGACAAATACACATATTTGAATATATTGAAACAAAATTTATTCAAAACTGCGGAAAAATTAAATCTCCCGCGGAATTTCTGTTTCCAGCGAGGCCGCGATCCAAAGCACACCGCTTACATCGTACGCCATTGAATCATTTATAATACTTCTCATTCCCTAAATACACCACCCCAGAGTCCAGACATGAATCCTATCGAACATGTCTGGAATGAATTGGAAAAAAGTATTCGAAAACATCGTATAACAAGCAAAGCAGACTGGAAAAATGTTCTTTTACAAGAATGAAATAAAATTGAGTCAGATTTTACAAAAAAGTAAATTGATTCAATGCCCAAACGATTAAAGAAAGTTCTTAAAAGGAAAGGAGGGCCAAATAAATATTAATATTTAATTTCAAGTCATTTTTAAACGTTTTTATTCGAGTGTGCCAATACTTTTGTTCACCCATAAAATGTTCAATAGATACATTTTTGTTATTGTTTCGTGAATCAATGTATTTATATTATTGTTTCTACTATGTAATAAAACTACAATATGTCAAAAAGTTTTTCCTTCAAATCAATTTATTTAGTAGTTATAAGCACTTGTACCACAACGACCATGCTGTGCCAATACTTTTGTCCAGCACTGTATATATTCTTGAACTGTATGACGAAATTTACAAACTTGCAAAGTTTCAACTAAATCAGTGACCCGAAGGACTTGCACTCTCCTTATAAGTTCATTCAAGAGGCGAGTTTGTAGAAATTGCAGATATATTGCACTTGTTAATGATAACAAATAAATGGGTTCAATAATATGATTTCCAATCATTCCTACCCATACTATTATGGTGAAATGTCCCTGATCATACTTCCGATCCATTGCATGCCCAAAGCCCAAATCTTTGCATTTTGTTAATTTAAGATGCTACTGTAGGATAGTTTAGGAAATAGATATAGATTTAAGTACAGGAAGATCCGTTACAGTCTTTCAATAGCCAAATCCTAAATGCCGAACAGTACGTGCCTTGGTGTTTATTTGTTCATTTATTTGCTAGTCAAATTTCTATGTTGCATCGGATCACCGGACATGAGGCATCGTTGACAAGCCTATTCAGGCTATTTGGCTTCGGCACTTATGATCTGGCTGCCAGATGGACCATAAGAGATATCGGGGTCAGGCCACGTGAGGTGGCCTCGCACAACACCGGTTTTTCCCGGCATAAACCGAGGGTGACGCGGTCGCGGTCATCTCTCGGGTAGGGTCCCCGCGAGGGTGATCCTTCAGGGGGGCTAACTCCTTCCTTGATCTTGACGGAGGGAGTTTCTCCTCTTTTGGGGAGGCGCTTGTCTTCTGGACGGGCTTTAACCACTTGCGCTATAAAGACGTGCCACGCACGTCGAGATGCTTTTATTCCAAAGCCGCCAGCGACGTGTATACCACGTCAATGTAACGCCTTACCGCATGTTATATTGTAGAGCGCGACACGGCAACCGAAAGTTAAATTGTAGCGCAAGTGGTTAAAACAGCCCGTCCTAGAAGACAGAGGAGTTAGTCGGTTAAGAGTTAGTTGGTTGCGAGTTAGTTGTCAAGCAAGAGTTGTTCGTTAAGAGTTAGTTAGTTGATTATCATTATCAGTTGAAAGTTAGTTGAGAGTTCGTTATTGCGAGTTGTCCGTCTCAGAGTCAGAAAGAGTCAGCCGTAGTCGCCTAGTGAAGACTTATCAGAGATTCGCTAGCAGTGACTTCATCTTTAGCACTTCCCCTTACCCCCTTTCACCTTGATCCTACAAATCTTTGGGATCTCGTCCGAGATTCTTACATTATTTTGGAGTCTCGTTCGGGATTTCTACACTACTGATCGATAATTTGCTTTTGCCTGTAAATATCACATTCTTTAAGAAATCTCGTCGATATTGTAATTTATTTATTATTCATCGCAAAAATGTCATCGTATAGTACGATTATTTGGCTTGAGTACCTAAATCTGGTGAATTCGGTAAGGTCGCAAGTCTTCTTCACAAAGTATTCGTCACACTGTTGTGTGATTTACACCTATTCGATGAGCAGTACCACGTAGACCAATTAATGAATAAGCACCAGCAAGAGCAATAATTTGTTTTCGATAGTAATGGATTCGGGGGTTGTTTCGCCTCCCCGATGGGTAACGTAATATTGCCTCTTAATCACTGAACTGTTGATTCAATCGTTGCAAATCTCACGAATTTAGTACATATACTGCACATAACGATTTTCTCTTATTCCATACCGAATATATTTTTCGAGTTACAGAATAATTTCCAGCTAGTCTATCAATAACACGTAGCATACTTCGGATATTTCGATAATATACTATTGTTCCTTGATTATCAACAAGAGACAAACGATAAGTCATTGACTGATCATTACTGCGGTGTCTATATACGATAATAATCCATCTATGGTCCGATTGTTATTTACTTTGAATACACATGCAAATATAAATATAGTGAATGGCCACGAAAGTTAATATTTATCCACCTATTATACACACTAGACGAGCGGTGGATTCCTCCAGACCTTGTGTCATTAACACAGGCGTACAGGTAGAGTTCAATGCAGTAGCGATGCCAACATCTTGAAAAGTAAGATCGAACGGCAATTATTGTTCAAATAAAAATTGTTCAGGATTTCGTCCTTTATAACATACTTCAAAATCATTGCGATTGGTTCGTGTATTCTGCAGATTTTCAGATTTCCTTTTTTGCACAAAAAAGAAAAATAGCAAAAGTACATTATTTTTTCAAGTCCCTCCAGTATATACTTTTTATTAGTGTTAGAATATAGAATTTTTTTAACAAACTTACCGACAAATTTTTCTGTAACACTTTTTGGTATTATTGACAGTTTTGGAAACATTGAGAAAATTTAAGAGATATAATATATTCGATAACTGTGTGGGTTTATTGTTGCTATATTTTTTATTATAGGATTTTGCAGATTTGCGGAAGAACGGAAATTGGAAATGCAAATTTTTTTCACTTTCCATTTTTATTCTTTGCACTCGGGCGGCGATATTCAGTCACCATTTAATAAAATGTTAAAGATCGATATTAGTTAACATATTAAATTTAAGATAATGTAATAGTGTACGAGGTATTGAAATTGAATAATTCTACGTGTTAATTGTTGTACGATTTTTTATTTACTGTTCTAAAAATATCGTCTTTATGACGATATTTATAACAGAAAATCTTTGAATTTCTACTATTCTGTAGCGAAAACATCGTCGAATGTAAAAGCTTAATATTATATACAGTATTGTTTTCAATGTTGTTTTGTACTCAGTATTGTAGTAATACAAATTAAAAATTAAAAGACAGCGTTTTTAAAATAGATTATTGCCGTTTTCAGCTAGTCACTTCAGGTCATATACTCGTACATGAAACATTTCAAATCGTTTTTGAAGACTTCATTAAAATTATCTTGTAACAATAAAATGAAAAATATATAAATATTATTTTTGTAGTTTTGGTGATTTGTTAGTAGTTGAGTTCTTATTGACATTTTTCTTAAATAAGTTTTAATTTAGTAATACTTGTAAATCCCTGAGAATTTAAAAGGTAATATTGGATAAGACAAATCTGCACATCAATAACATGCGTTGTGGTTATCGATGTTTATCAAGTACAGTTAATTTGGTGGTTCGAAAGGAAATTGATACAAATCATCGTATACGTATAGATTATAAATTTTCAATGATAGTTATTTATTTATCGCTAAAAATTAAATAGAATTTTACAAGCTATAGAACATTAATATATTATTATAATATATTTATGATGATATTTATGCGAATATACTAAACAAATCAAATTAGATTATTCTACGCTCTAAACATCCAATAATTGTTTGTAATCAGTGCTGGTAATTGAACAACTGTTTACAATTTTTTTATCCGCTATTGCGATATGTAATTGATTGCAATACGTAATATGAATTAGCATAAAGCTGCTTTTCATGAAGGCCACGATTGACATGAATTCGCGTTGTCTTCACCGCGTTAGATAAAGGAAAATATTGAAAATGAAAAAAAAAATAGAGTTTTTGGATTTAATTTTCTCTCAAAAACGAAACATCTTATGAATTTATTATATTCGTTTTATGCATATTATATTTTCGATTTATTTTTATATATATAGATATTCTGTATATGTAGTCACTTCTTGATTCATTTTTAAGATTTTTATACCCAAAAGTCTCAGATACAATTTAGTTTATGAAATCATATTTTCATATCTTTTTTTAGGACATTTGAACTAAAATGTTAAAAGACTTTTCTCTGTTTGTATCAAAGATAACACATAAATTTTTTTTAAACAGTCTACTATTAGTAGACTGCTTCAATTATACTCCTTTGCGTGACCAACAAACTAGCTTTATCTTCAAAGTTTCTTCTGAAGAACATGTTCTTTGTCAATTACACAAAATGTTTTATAATGTTACACAATGTTATGTTTTTCTAAGAGTTATTAGATTTGATAAGAGTAATTCAATTAATCAATATTCACAATTCTCAAATTAATATGCTATTTCATGAAAAGAAAAGAGGATGACTGCAATTCTATTCAATTGAAGTTGAAGTTGAATCTTTAGGAATTTTGGAAAGCATAATTTGTGACATTTTATTTGGACTACATTTTCTGAGTTAGTATAAGTTATACGAGTTAATGATACTTTCTCTTTTATAATATGACACTATTCATTACCATTTCTAAAAACTTAAATTTCTTTAAATAAAAGCGGGTCATCTTTATATATGGAGAATAGAAGTAATACAAGCAATTGATTATTACAGAAAAGTGATTATAAAGTAACAGCTCGGCAAGTTGATTTTACATTGGGAAAAAAATGTCCTGCTTGGTGGCCAAGATTAACCAGTCAACCACAAAAGCCTTCATGGTTAAAAATAGATTTTGATAAATGGACAAGTGAAGATTTAGATGATAATGAAGATGAGAAGCGGGATGTATGCAGTGATTATCCTGACATGTATGACAAACTTCATAAAGAAGAATTTGGTTACAGAAAAGGTATATTTTATTAAAACATGTTTTAACCTATACAATCAATTTTAATATTAATTTATTATTATTCACTATACAGAAGATTTCAAGAAGGTATATTTAATTATTTATAATCTTTGTCAATTTGTTGGTTTTATCTACATCCTTACTGTAATGGGAATTATGTATTCACGAGATGGGCCAGGTTAGTAATTGTATAATCAATTTAAGATCAGTTATATAACTTTAATAGTACCTAAATTGATATATTTAACAATTTATTATTAAATTTTTAATTGTAGCTTCTATGAAAGAAACATATACAGCTGTTGGAAATGCAATGAAGTTTATACAACTTATACAATTCTTAGAAGTTATGCATTCATTATTTGGTTACACTAAAAGTAGTACACTTCTGACATTTGTTCAAGTAGGGGGTAGAGCATTCATTTTATTTTGTTTGATTGAAGCCGAACCACGTATGCAAACAAAACCAGTCATTTTTTATCTTTTTCTGGTTTGGAGTACAGTAGAGGTATTTAGATATCCTTATTACATCACGCAATTACTTAAAGTAGAGATTTCATTTTTAACATGGTTAAGGTATACAATATGGATGCCTTTATATCCATTAGGTTTTCTTTGCGAAGGAATTATAATATTAAGAAATATTCCGTATTTTGAGGAGTCACAAAAGTTTACTATTTATTTACCAAATTCGTGGAATTTTGCATTTCATTTTCCATCATTTTTAAAGATATACTTATTAATATTTTGTCTACCATTTATGTACATGTTAATGTCTCGTATGAATGAAGCACGCTATAAAAAGTTGGGTAAATCTAAACTGAAAAAGAAATATGCATGATGTAGTAAATAATGAAATTTAAAGATTAAAATACTCGAAAATTTAATTGATAGTTTACTTATTGACGATGCATTGTATTTATACATATGATTTTGTAACTGTAAATTGGTAATAAATTGGTAATAAATTAGTTCTGGTTATTTACTTATTTTAATATCTAATAATAGCAGTAGGCATAGGGGATGAAAATCGTTATAACATAATTCAATAGTATCTTAATAAAATTACATAACCATCGATACTTTACTGCAGCGCTGTATACGTATTCACAATTCTTTTCAGTCACTATTTACCAATCATGTTATTAAGGAAATCATATGACACTATAGAGTGTGACTAAGGTTATGCGTTATTGCGCGGTGACTAGAGTAGTCCTTAACTATAGGGTACGAAATTATTTTCGAACATTTTTGGTTTTACCTACTTAAATTATGACATTTGATAGAAAAATTATGTATTTTAAAAGATAAGAGGAAACAATAAACACGTTTAAATAATATAAATTGGTATATTTATTATCGTCATAACGACAAACAAAGAAGGAAAAAAAATAAAAAACAATGTTAAAGATGGTTTCGTATACGGATGATAGCGAACGCTTGAAAGAGAAAATGAAACTGTTAAAAAGTCGATATTATTATTGAAACGATTTGATAAGGTAAAGAGTATGGCTTCTATGAATTTATATTTATGAATTATATATTAATTGCATTAACATATATTTTTCACATTAGGCCGCCAAAGTTCCATTTATTAATATATTTTTCCACTACATTTGGCATATTCAATTTGAATATGAAATTTTGATACCACAATTGAAACAGGAATAGATACTCTATTGTTCGTAAATCCATAGAACGTGAAACAAAGTCATTTTCTGCTGGCTCTGTTGTGTTGTTTCATTATTATATTGTTACGGCTTGTCCCTGACTATGCGATGTCGTGATTTGCAAATTCCAGTTCAAAATGCAAATATTAATAATTACAAAGTAAAACGAAGCAAGGAAAGACGGTATATTTCACCTTCACTGATCACTACCTTATTAGTTAAGAAAACCATTAAAGAATTACAACTCTGAGAGGAGAAGTATGCAGTCACCACTACCAAATACTCAGTGCAGAAAGACGTTCTGGAAAGAATATTTTCTAAAGTCATACGATTACGTGCAGTCCGAGACAATGAAAATAGATCGTTGAGAATAACTTTTGACTTTCAACAAGATGTGTTGAAAAATTAAAAAAAAATAAGTTGAAATATAAAGGACCAGTTCATCTTCCCTAGATGATAAGATTATTAAGCAGTGCAATCATTTAAAGAAATTTGTAACGGAATTAAGTCAATTGCATGCATGGGATGATATTACAAAACTATTTGCCATATAAACAGTATATCAAGAATAGTAACGTTGGCATCCTCGCGCTCACCGACCACCTTAAAATGAGAAACGTCACGGACCCGATTCATTCCCCGCGAGACGTCATTCCCCGCGCCCAGACCACCCTAGGTTAAGAAAACATTGCGTCCGCTGAACGAAGCGCGGACCCGGTTCCCATGAGCGATAATGCCGGATCACCTTTATCGCACCCTTTCTATGCGGAGTCTCGGGCATTATCGGAACACTCACCACAAGGGTATCACGAATATATATATCGGTCCACGGACGGGGCACCACTAATTGGTTGCAAATCGTTCAGTTGTCGTGAAATCGACCTTAGGCTTTAAGTCAGTTAAGTCATTAAGTCGTCCAGTTATTAAGTTGTTAAACCATAGTGATTTTGTACCATAAGCAAGAATAAATCTCCACTATTTAAAAGCAAAGCCTGAAAAGTGAATTTGACGATTAAGAACGCCCGAAATCCGGATCTCTGGGGAACCATCCAACACCGAACCCGGACCTCAAGAGGAACTACGCAACACCTTCGAAGCACCCTCACTAACCCGGAGCGCCCTCCAATACTTCCGACAACCTTATGAGTATCGGCCCAGCCGACAATCCTGTAAACACGACGCAGACTCACGCGATTAGAACCCGTGGTCCCCGACCAGACGTTGATGTACGTGCAACGTGGGTCTAAAGGCGAAGAAAATTTAGGCTTCACGAACGGGTCGCGTGCATCCGTGGCCGCCGTACCCGGTAATCGTAACCCAGATCGTGACAATAAATTCTACGAAATCCAATAATGTTAGCTAAACACTGATAAGTTGTGCCTCGATATACTATCAAAATGTTTGAGATTCAAAATCAAAATTGAATATTTCATAGTAGGATATTGCATTTTCTGGTGAATTATATACAAAAATTGTACGGGAGAAGATGAAAATGTGGACCATTGTTTTATTTTCGAAGGAAACATTAAAACTGTAAAAATTACATCGGTAAAAGATAAAAGTAGTAGTTTGTAGATCTGAGATAACATAATTATAGCTTTCTAGCTAGAAAATTCAACCATTTCGAAGATATATTATTTTTGAGAAACATTGTCTAAAACTTGGTTAAAAAAAATGGGATGATAATATAAATCAGAATTGAAGAGGTAAAAAAGCATGACAGATAGTTGACGTTTTCATCGACTTTTTATTTTTCTTCATATTTATAGAAATCATATGTAAATTTAAAAATTATTTAAACCAAAAAGTATTAAAAAATGTGAGAATTATGACAAAAATGAAGACGATAAAAAATTAATAATGGTGTGAATTTTTTGAAAGAAATTATAATTTTCTTGTACAATTGAATATAAATTTAATATCAAATACAAGACTTATGAATTTTGGCAATAGTCGGAAATAAGAAATCACTGTTTCGTTTAGTATTCTAAAGAACACGAAATAAGTGTGGCTGTAATATAGACTAGTCTAGTTCATATTATCATTTCCAGTTATTTTTTGCATTAACTTAACAATTGCAGCGTGAAAATGATATTTATAAATAACTAAATATAGTATTTTGAAACTCGATCTTATAACTAATCGTATTTCCATAGATAACATATCTTGACAGTTAATATAAAGAAAAAGATTAATGAAACTTATCTTGAAAAACTTTCTAGATAAGCAAAAATAAATAATTCTTAGCTAAACTTGTTAACTAAAAAACAAAAGTGACTAGCATCATTTTTGTTTGTTGACAACGTATTCATTTATATTTTTTGTTAATAAAACTATACCTTTGTTGTGCAGCATTAGATGCCTCCCTTTATTTCCTACAAAAGGTTACCAGGGTAGTTAGATCGAAAATTGATTACTTGAGAAGATATTTTCACTTTATTGTTCGCAGAATATCATTTTACAATTAGGATTTTACAACTTGACATTTTACAACTTGAATACCATCCTGCATCCTTGTATGAGTATTTGATCATTATTAGATTGTCATTATATTTAATAAACTTTTAAGCTATTATAAATTTTAGTCATACAACAATGCCTTATTTATTAAATTATTATAGATTTTTGTTTTTAACGCTTTTATTCCTCTCTACCTTTCGATTATCTGAGCTATTATACATAAAACAAGGTTCTATTTGAATTATACAATTCGGTAACTTTTATAGCTTACAAATTTCCTTGTTATTTTCTGGTAATGGACGAGTTTTGACAGTTCTTCTTTAATGATTTGAGTGTCAAATGAGTGGTGCATGTGTATTATTATGATCCTGTAAGATCGGCATTTCTTTGGTTTGTAAGTATAATGAATAATTTTGTTTTCATAAATTTAACGAGCAGTCTGCAAATGTCCAAATTGATGCAGCTGATTTTGATAGTGTTATTGTCCATGATTTAGAGTTATATCGGTCCTCTTTTGATTCATGTTTTCCAATTAAGTTTGAATTTTTATTTTCGTTATTGTTTGGAGTTAGCTTAGCAAATCTATTGTATAGACTAGTAGGCTCAGTAACCTATTTATTGATGGAAGATATTATCCTTTTTTTTGAAACTTTTAAATACTTACCATGAATTGTATAAATTGATCAAAGCCCTTTCTGTGTCAGTAGAATCTAGTATACTTTCTGGTTGAGAGGGCACAAAAGCTGATTGTTATGAGTGATGAAGAACATATTTCAAGTATATCTTGAATATTCTCCTATATGTTAACATATTCTTCATACATAGTTCACACATATCACTTGTATATTTTGACATATTTTATTGACATAAAAATTCACAATCTACAAATAATAAACTCGTACATTCGAAACAATTTCTGTATCCGCCATGATATATTTATATATTATTACAGAACAAGTAAAGGAAATAAAAGTAAAGGGTATAATCCAAGATTCAATATCGCCGTATAACTCGCCATTATAGGTTGCTTCAAAGAATATAAGTACGAATAGGAAGGATAAATGGAGAGTAGTTGTAGATTTCAGGAGTCTCAACGAAAAGACGTTACATAATGCATATCCGTTTCCAAATATTCGATTTAGCTAGTGGCTTTTAAAAAACAGTAACGAAAAAAAAAAAAAGGATAAAGAAAAGACAACTTTTAGCAAACCTGCTGGATATTTTAATGTAAAGTAAACTAAGGATGCCATTCGGTTTAAAAGATGCTTATAGAAATTGTGTTATATGGTCTTCCGATAACTTTAAGAGAGCCTGGCGGCACTAGCATGTCGCTAGTATGACCTTAATGGCCTTAGTGTCTAGAAAATGACATCGAGATTATCTAGAGTCAATACGTTGAAATGACCCTGGTGTCATTTGCATTATCCTTTCAGCATTTTTGCTCTTAAAATGATTTTCAGGAATGCATAATTCTAACGCATAATAGAGCAAGCCTTGAGACCCAAGGATTGAGAAGACTGATTAAAACGATATCTTTTGCCTATCTGAATGATGTTATCATCTTCGAGGAAAACCTAAACAAACTCGCAAAAAGTTGAAGACGTTCTTCTAGCGATTCAGCAATACAGGACTAAAATTACAACCTGCCAAATGGAAATGGAAACGAAAGATGAATCAACCAGACGAACCAACCTGCAACCCAGAGAAGACA